GTCAGTAACAAGATGGGTGACTCCTTGGCAATATTAGGTGTTGTATGCTTGTATATGCGGGTGGTATAATTGATAACGACTCAGAATTAGAAAGTGGAATTCCAATCGGGTTTATTATATTCATTTACGCAGAAATATCATTGAGAATGGTATGAATCCACCTCTAACCCTCAGGCTATGGGTTAATTAGTACGACGTGTATCAGTAAATTATTATTTTTGGTTTTAAATAACCTACAAAAGTTAGATAATCTGTAAAAAAATAAATAAACCGTGTTTGTCCAATTCGTAGCTGACAATTTGGCTCGTTTCTCTTGCTGACAACTATAAATTCTGTCTCTTTAAAATTGACGATTAATACTTTCTTCTCCCTTTCTTCTAGTTCCTTTCCTGTGTGTCTGCCATTAACATGGCTCCATCTACCATAACATATTGTTAAGATAGCGGTCACCAATAACACATCATGGTAAGTGTGAGGAACGAGAAGACTTACCTCCCGCAAAGAGAATTTGCTTGGCGTGTCAGGTCCTGTTGAAAGATCGCGGGCGGACGTGTAGTACTGTACTGATGCGGCATTCACCCTGGGCGGATTGAGCCGGCTTCTTCCTGTTATGAGAAGAAGATTCTTGGGATAAATTTAGGGTACCCAGGCCTACTCGGATAACGTTCTTGCTTGCCGCGGGGTTCCCACAGACGCAGAGACAGGAACGACCAGAAGCCGCCGGTTACCGATGCAGACGCTCCTTGATTTTCACCAGAGCCCTTGTTAGCCGGGTGTGTGGACCTGTCCGAAGTTCCGGGCGGCATAGCTCTGACACCCGCCACCGACGTGTAGGGGAAAAATAAAAAAAATAAAAAAAAACAGTAAGAATTCAAATCAGCTTGAATTTATGAAACCGGAAGTCTCGGGCGAGCTAGAAGTAAGTCTCGTATGTAAATTGTTGTTGTCCCCGACGCAGGCATAAATAGCGAGTGTGGGAGGAAACGGGAAGAGTGCATTGTTGGCGTGACGGTGGACGTGCGTACTAACGAGACTGAGAGAATAAGAGGTCACTAGCGACAGCTCAGTTGGTAGACCGGAGGACTGGACGAAAGCAAGCACTTTAATCCATTTTATTCATCGCAAGCGACGGGCGATCTGATTTAACCACAGTAAGATTTATAGTTCATGGAGATTACAAGAATGTAAATTTTGAATAAAACCTCCAAGATGATATATTCTTGCCTCATGCTCTTTTTTGGTCTTGTGCCTTCAATTCATTTTCTACTCGAATTTTTCTACCAGAATTACTTCTTGATTAAAGCATTACTAATCATTCAGTCATGAGGCAGACATCATGTACGGTGAACTGGCCTAGGGACAACTTCCGGTGATCCGCTGTACACTGAATTTCAAGGAGGCTTACAAGAGCGACCTGAAACTTACAGTTATAGACTCTGATATCTGGGAACAGCTAGGAGAGGATGGCAGCGGCAGGTGCCATTCTGTTAAACCAAGAGTCACGAAGACCGGAAGGAGAAACCAACAGTTGCAGATCAGAAGACAACGAAGTAAGCAGGAAGAGCAAATTCATTTCACAACTCACCTTTGACTCTCATATCAGAAGAAGAGAGGGTCACTCCAAAGATTTGGTCTCTTAAGCTAGGGGTTTTCTAACTTTTTCACTTGCGGACCCCTTTATATTTCAGGCTTTACCTTAGGGACACCCTTATAAACGCTTATGAAATTTATACATAAATATTTGATGAATATAACATATAATTTTGCATTAATGCAATAAAAGCTGGTTTAAAGCTTATTTAAACATAAGTGTTCAAATAAATTAATGCTGCATGTTGCTGCAAAATGTAACAAAATTAAATTTTGTTATATTAAAATATTAATTTTACATGTAAATGAAAACAGTAATAGTATTTAACAAATAGTTTTATTGTCAATTACACACACAGGATTTTTTAATACACACTTAGTGGGAAGGATGTACTTGCTCGGCTTTGCACAAACTGTCAATTCTTGACGATATTAGTGATAAACATACACGTAAGTCACTTTCTAGAGCAAGTCTGGATTTGTATTTGTTTTTCAGATTGATTAGTGCCAAAAATCCTTGCTTACTCGTCCAACAGCCTTGCACTTCTACTCGCAAAATGTCTCCCGTTTGAAGATTTGCACACGTGACGCCTAACAGCCAATGAGAAAGCCGGAAATCGCAAAATAGATCCAAAATTAAAATCCTTTGGTTCCTTCTCTGAATGAATAGAATCCATTATCTTTATCAATTTAAGATACAAATTATATTAGTATATCAAATCTATGAAATAGTTTATTGAATCAATGTATTTCCTGATCGGCCTATAAGTTACTTATAAGCGCTTATAAGTTGCACGTCACCCATAGAAAAGTCTTTGCTGTCTACGGACCACCTATCTTGTCCTTGCGGACCCCCTGTGTTCTGCGGACCACAGTTTGAAAACCCCTGTGTTAAGCCACTCCCGATGCTGCTCGCAAAAGAACTAAATGATTAATGTGCGCTGTGAAGTAATGAATATTGTTTCGGAGTGAGATCTCGGAGAGCCGTGTTCGAATCCCAGTCGTGTTCGTTAAATTCACTTACGCACAAATATCCTTGGGAAAGGTATGAATCCATCTCTTCTCTCCCCAGTTATGGGTTGAATAGGGGAACTGGGTTCTTTAGCCTTGATTGGCAACCAGTCTACGGCAGAAAGAAATGGCAACCTACTTCTGCCTCGTTAGCCATGTATCAAAAATATACATGATCGCCTAAGCGTGCATCACGTGTGGTACTTTACTGACTGACTATTACTTCTTGTAGGAGACAGTATATACTTTTTTCATAAATGAAACGTATTTCTGGTCAAATCCTTCATATAATATCTTATGAACAATTACGAATAGAAAAGGCCATTCGTTTAAATCTGAAAGTGTGAGTATTCAACTGTATCCAAATGTAAAAGACGATATGATTAAAAACAAAAAAGAAAGTTATCTTAGCCGATGCATTTCGCCCTCTGTTGGATTTTATCAAAGCAAATGCCTTCATAAAATTTGCATTGACAATGTCACACATTTGCCTTGATAAAATCCCAGAGAAGACGTGTCGGCTAAGATAAGTTTTCTCTTTATTCATTAAAATATATGTATGTTTACCAACCTTCAATTCAATAACTATCGATTAATTTTGCATTGGTTGTTTAATTATGTAGAATTTTGTATTTACAGTGTATCACAAAAGTGAGTACACTCCTCACATTTCTTCAAATATTTAAGTATATCTCTTTATGGGACAACGCTGAAAAATTACCTTTTGACACAATGAAAGTAGTCTGTCTGCAGCATATATAACAGAGTTAATTTCTTTTCCCCTCAAAATAAATCAAAATATAGCCATTAAAAGCTAAATCCCTGGCAACAAAAGTGAGTACACCCCTAGGAAACTACACCCCTAAAAAGTGAGTACACCCCTAAGAAACTACATCCCTAAATGTGTAAACTGAGTACTGCTTTTCATTTTCCTTCCAAAATGTCATGTGACTCATTAGTGTAACTATGCCCATGTGTTCATGGGGAGCAGGTGTATTCAAATTCGTAGTGCAGCTCTAACACTCTCTCTTACCGGTCACTGAAAGTTCCAACATGGCACCACATGGCAAAGAACTCTCTGAGGATCTTAAGAAAACGTATTGTTGCACTACATAAAGATGGCCAAGGCTACAAGAAGATTGCCAACACCCTGAAACTGAGCTGCAGCACAGTGGCTAAGATCATCCAGCATTTAAAAGAGCAGGGTCCACTCAGAACAGGCCTCGGGTAGGTCGTCCAAAGAAGTTGAGCGCACGTGCTGAGCGTCACATCCAAATGCTTTCTTTGAAAGATCGGCGTAGGAGTGCTGTTAGCATTGCTGCAGAGATTAAAGAGATTGGGATCCAGCCTGTTAGTGTTCAGACCATACACCGCACACTACATCAAATTGGTGTGCATGGCTGTCACCCCAGGAGGAAGCCTCTTCTGGAGGCAATACACAAGAAAGCTCGCAAACAGTTTGCTGAAGACATGTCAACAAAGCCCATAGATTACCGGAACCATGTCCTATGGTCTGATGAGACAAAATTTAATTTGTTTGGTTCTGATGGCCTTAAGCATGTGTGGCGGCGACCAGGTGAGGAGTACAAAGATAAGTGTGTCATGCCTACAGTCAAGCATGGTGGTGGGAATGTCATGGTCTGGGGCTGCATGAGGGCTGCAGGTATTGGAGAGTTACATTTCATTGAGAGAAACATGAACTCTAACATGTACTGTGAAATACTGCAGCAGAGCATGATCCCCTCCTTCCAGAAACTGGGTCGCAGAGCAGTGTTACAGCATGACAATGACCCCAAACACACATCCAAGACAACCACTGCTTTACTGAAGAGGCTGAGGGTAAAGGCGATGGACTGGCCAAGCATGTCTCCAGACTTGAACCCAATAGAACATCTTTGGGCCATCCTCAAGCAGAAGGTGGAGGTCCACAGAGTCTCAAATATCCGCCAGCTCCGCGACGTCGTCATTGAGGAGTGGAAGAGCATTCCAGTGACTACCTGTGAAGCTCTGGTAAACTCCATGCCTAGGAGAGTAAAGGCAGTTTTGGATAATGGTGGTGGCTACATAAAATATTGACAGTTGACATGTTGTATGTTAATATTGACAAGTTTTCCTCAGGGGTGTACTCACTTTTGCTGCCAGGGATTTAGCTTTTAATGGCTATATTTTGAGTTATTTTGAGGGAAAAATAAATTAACTCTGTTATATATGCTGCAGACAGGCTACTTTTCATTGTGTCAAAGTGTCATTTTGTCAGTGTTGTCCCATGAAGAGATATACTTAAATATTTGAAGAAATGTGAGGGGTGTACTCACTTTTGTGATACACTGTATATTATTTTCATCTATCTCTTTTTCACAATATCTATCTATTTCTTCTTTTCACATCTATCTAAATATATGTTTCTGTTCCTATCTATCTATCTATCTATCTATCTATCTATCTATCTCTTCCTTCATATCTATCTATCTATCTATCTATCTATCTATCTATCTATCTATCTATATATATATATATATATATATATATATATATATATTTCTGTGCATATCTATCTATCTTTCATTCTATTATCTATCTATCTATCTATATATATATATATATATATATATATATATCTATCTATGTTTCTATCTATCTATCTATCTATCTATCTATCTATCTATGTTTTGTTCATGTTTATCTATCAGTTTTTGTCTATGACTATTCGTCTATGAGTTTTTTCATATCTATCGATCTATCTATCTATCTATTTTTCCTACGCTTGAGAAATTGTATAAAAAACTATTTAGTTTTTTATACAATTTCTCATTCAGCACCTTGCCTGTCGCTTTCAATGAAATGTGCAAGAAAGAAGGATTGCTGCCTAAATACACACACACACACACACATATACACACACATATATATATATATAAATATATATAAATATATATATATAAATATATATATATAAATATATATATATATATATATATATATATATATATATATATATATATATATATATATCTATCTATGTTTCTGTTCTTGTCTATCTATCTATCTATCTATCTATCTATTTATTTACTCACTATAATGATAGTCAAAAATATTAATGTAAAACAACCAGAATTTTGAGGACATTCTTTCTATCGTTTTTTATTATTATTATTAAACTAATGGTGAACATTATATGATGTAATAAAGGAGAGAGAGACCGAAGGAAAATCATTAATTAGCAAAAAGAAAAACAAACTGATTATTGATTAATTGGCAAATGCTGCAATGGCCAATTATCAATCGCTAACAAATGAATTGTGTTGATTATTTTACAACTGATATTTGGTCAAAAGACGTAAGAATCTCTAACAGTATATTAATTTTCAGCGTTGTTCAGAATTATTCCTAGGCATAGTGCTATGGCTGTCATTCTGTCTACAAATCATTAATTATTTTGGAACTGCAGACTTTTTTTTGTTTTTGGGGGGTTTTTTAGCATATATTTCATTATACGTTACAAATTCTTTCAATTTGTTTGGAATTCAATATTAAATATGTTATGATAATAGCAATGTGAATTGAGGTCTCTTTAAATAATTTCTGCAAAGTTGTGTTTACTTCCATTTTATTTCATGTTTTTTTTTTATCCGTGTTTGTCCAATTTGTCAATCTGTCAATATCTCGTGATTTTAATATTTTCATCTATCTTTCAATCCCTCTTTTTCACAATCTATCTATCTATCTATCTATCTATCTATCTATCTATCTATCTATCTATCGTTTGTTCATATCTATCTAACTCTTCTGTTCATACCAATCTATATATCTATGTTTCTGTTCATCTATCTATCTATCTATCTATCTATCTATCTATCTATCTATCTATCTATCTATCTATGTCTTTATTTACCTACGTCTTTTCACATCTATCTATCTATCTATCTATCTATCTATCTATCTATCTATCTATCTGCGTTTAGAATTTCTATCTCTTCTAATTCATGTAAAATCTATATATCTGTTTTATTCATCTATCTATCTATCTATCTATCTATCTATCTATCTATCTATCTATCTATCTATGTCTTTATTTACCTACTTCTTTTTACATCTATCTATCTATCTATCTATCTATCTATCTATCTATCTATCTATCTATATGTGTGTTTATCTATCTATCTTCATTTGCTAATATCTATTTGTCTGATTCATTTCCGGACAATATATATATATATATATATCTATATTTTTCAGTTAATCTTTTGTCTTCTATTCATTTTCGACAATGCCTCGAACGAGTCGAAGCCCGTTTGTTGAATACATTTTGATAAAGATATTAAATTCCCTTTGTCCTTTTCACCCATCGCTTCTTTTTTTTTCCTGCACTTTCTCAACTACGAATCATCCTTGAAATAAATGTCTATTTCTTTACCTCAGTCTCTCTTCCCTCTTCTTTTCTTTTTTTTTTTTTTTTTAGCGACCATCCAACCACACGTACACTGCAGAGTGTGCCTATACGTACGTACCTGTTTGCTTGGAACCTTTCGAATAAAGCTAATCTTGCACGTTCGCACTGTTTGTGTGAATGATTAATATTAATCCTCTTTGATGTCATATTGATTTCGCCGACCACGAAGCTGTGGCTTGTGCGTGAGGCATCTTCAAACCCGGTGTAAGCAGTCAGCAAGTACAATATTTACCGAGCCAGCGAGTACAATATGCGTGCAAGTTAGTACGCCCAGCGAGTCGCCTGTTTCTATCTATATATAATGCGAAATGCATAAACAGACTTTCGGTTATTCTCAAAAGACAGGATTGCATATATTATGCATTAATTTGCTGCGAATACTTCTGCAATGTAAAGTGTTAATTTCATTTGAAATATTCGGCGAACATTAGCCTCGGAGATTAACACAGAATTTTTGTATATTTCTTTTCGTTTCTGTTCGCCTATATGTCTCATGGAATTTTCATAGGAATTTTTCTTTTTTAATTTTATCAAAGGAATTACTTTGACAAAATTTGTGAATCTTGTTGGAGGGAATAATTTACTCTTTCTCCATGTTTTTCTTGAGAATATTTCCTTCGTCTTTTTTGTTTTTAAATAGAATTTCAAACGTGTATCTTCCAAATATCCTCTGATCATGGCAAGGTTTCAAAATGTCAAATCATAGGCTGGGCGCGGTTGGGCAATTTGACATGGTGTAATGGTTAGTAAGTTTGACACGCTAGATCAATTATGATTTAATACTCGCATCTCACTGGGTGCTCAACGCATTTGACCATGTGCCATACGTAAACTAAGCTGAGAAAATAATTGGGTACTTTGACGTCGTGTTATGTTTAACAAACTTATCTCGCTACATCAATTACGAGTGAATAGTGACTTCGATTCTCACCTGGTGCTCCACGCTTTTGACCATGTGTCATACGTAAATTAAGCTGAGAAGATAATTGTTTACTTTGACGTCGTGTTGTTTTTAACAAGCTTATCTCCCTACATCAATCACGAGTGAATAGTGAGTTCGATTCTCACTGGGTGCTCCATGATTTTGACCATGTGCCATACGTAAACAAAGGTGTTAAAATAATTGGGCAATTTGACGTCGCGTTATTTTTCACAAGCTTATCTTCCTACATCAATCACGAGTAATTAGTGAGTTTGATTCTCACTTAGTGCTCTACGCTTTTGACCATGTGCCATACGTATGCTAAGCTAAGAAAACAATTGGGTACTTTGACGTCGTGTTATGTTTAACAAGCTTATCTCGCTACATCAATTACGAGTGAATAGCGAGTTCGATCCACATTTGGGGCTTAATACTTTCTGACGTGCTATATCTAAGCTACACTTAGTTAATCCTGGGACATTTCGAGTTGAAATAGTCAACAAGATTATCTCGTTAGATCAATTACAGCTTAGTATTGACTTCGATGCTCGCTGGGTGCTCCACACTTTCGGACGAATTCCATATCTAAGTTACGCTTAGAAACTTATTTGTAACTCGACCTGGTATAATGCTTAACAATGTTTTTTCGCTATATCAGTTACGCCTGAATTTTGAGTTCGATCCGCGCTGAATGCCTCATACATTCGTCCCTGTGCCACATATAAGCAACACATATTATGTCAATTTAATAATTCGTGGAATTCATAGATGAGGGCCATTTTTAATTTTGAGATGCAAGAAATATTGCACAAGGCCAAAGTGGAGCTAGTAAAGTCTATTCGACATCGATTTAACTTAAATGAACCCCATATTCTCTATAAACAGAGAGCGGTTTAAATAAACTACTGGTTAGGCTCTCAATTTTCAAAATTGGTATAAGCGTAATCGTTGTTTACACTGTGCTATAATGGATAGTGGCTCAAAATGTGAAATCTGAGAGCGGAGTTCGAATTCCACTTGGTTTCGTTATATTCACTTAGGCGTAAATTTCTTTTTGGAAAGTTTCAATCCCTCTCTTCTACACCCACCCGCAGCTATGCGATGAATATTAGGACACACTGGGTCTTATGACTGACAACCTATCTACTAAAGAAAGATACGGCAGCCTTCTCCGTGAAAATCTTCTACCGAATCAGTCTTGAATCGAAAGAGACCTGATCGGCCGAACGGGTATCACGTCCGACAGTGAACTGACCGAGCGTAACACGTTTTTAATCGGGAGGCCAGATGAACATATCTACACGAGTATAAAGCGAGTTTTGATGACCAGTTATTTTTAGGCTAAAAAATAGACGATCACATTGTATAAGGGTATTTTTTTAAGAGATAAAAAATTTAAGCATTTTTGATGATTATACACAAGTCATTTTGTCTAAAGGGGTTAAGATTCATGCAAAAATAAAACCTGGGGTCGCACTACACATAGATTCGGCTCATAGATGGGCATATAGGCTAAATAAACTTACAAACTAAAGTAGGCAATAAAATAATGCCAATTCAGTACTACGTTTTATTCAATAAAATTATATCAATTTAATAATTCGTGAAATCGATTTAACAAAGAGGAGAGCGATTTTTAAATTTGAGATCGAAGAAATATCTCACAAGGCCAAAGCGGGGCTGGTGAAGGCTGATCTACAACTATTTAACTAAAATGACCCCTATAAACTAGAATATTACTTGCACGAAAACAACACCTACCTACCATCCGTACTAGAGTCAACATCTCGTACCAAAATATCTGTATTAAGTCTTAACTAGTCACCATATGTACAATATTTTCTGTGAAGGGTGGGGAATAAAATAAACTTTTATTCCCTACCCACCCTTTTTAAAAGTGGAGAAATCATCGAAACAATAGACAAGAAAATTTTTTTTTTTCTTGAAAGCAATTCACCTCAAGCAAGTCGGAAGTGCTACTAGCACGTAATGGGGTTACAGAGGATTGGGAACAAGAGTAAAGAGGTGTGTTTGGGGAAAGGATGAAGAGAAGGACAGGAAACAAGGTCAGGAGGGTCAGGTGTCGATTGTCATTACACTTGAAGATTATAGTCATCGGGGAAGCAAGTAAGAGGAAGGGAGTTCCACAGGTGGGAAGTGCGAGACATGAAACTATTAGAGTAGAAGAGATGGATACATTTAACTGTTTCGAGAAAATTACAAAACGAGTCCTACGATTACCTCGGCGCAGCATTGAATCTAGATAATGCACCTTAACCGTCAAGCACGAAAATCGACCATCGCATTAAAAACACTGAGATAAGTTATTAAATAAAAGTTTCTTTATTTTTTTAGCATTTTCATCATTGGAATAGACTGAACATCTGAGCAAAAAAGAGATTTTGCAGAAAATAGAAACAAAAAGGAAATTATATTAACATCAAGAAGAGGTGGTTGAAATTTCTGTGGCACGTAATGAGCAAGGGGAGCTTGGAGAATCTGGTACTCACAAGACAGATTGAGTGAAAGAGGCACAGAGGAAAGCAAGCGTAACGTACTTCATGAGCTTGAACAAATGGATGGTTCAACAGGTTTTTTTTTTTAACTTTTCACCCCAAGCAAGTCGGAAGTGCCACTAGCACGCACTGGGGTTACAGAGGATTGAGTACATGAGTAAAGAGGCGTGTTTGGGGAAAGGATGTAGAGAAGGACGGGAAACAAGCTCAAGGGGCCAGATGTCGATAGACATTACACTTGAATATTTGAAGATTATAGTCATCGGGGAAACAAGTAAGGGGAAGGGAGTAATGGATAAAGGCTCGAAATCAGAGGAGTTCGAATTTCTTTCGAGGTCGTTATATTCAGTTACGAACTTGAGAAAAAGGAAAAAACATTATGAAGTGGAAAAAGAAAATAACAGAACAGAAATTAAAAAGACAGACTATTAGGATTGGCACTGCATTTAAATTTTTGAAGATCAAAGTTAATTGGAAAGCAAAAAGCAGGAAGAGAGTTCCACAAGCGAGGAGTGTGAGGGAAGAAACTGTTAGCTTATGGTTACGTATAGCCATTTCACATGTAAAATGACGAGACCTAACCGTCAATCTATTACTGCGTTTAAATTAGTAAAGCCCAAGCTCCAAAGAAGAAAGCATATCAGAACAGTTACCATGAAAATGTTTATAGAAAAAGGCTCATGAAAGGTACGTTAAAGCGGTAGAAAATCGACTGGAGCCGAGATGTAAGTTCAGGACAAATAAAATTGAGGATTCATCTTTGTATTTTATCAAGAATCTCTAAATAAATCGTAGAATATCCAGCATTCATTGCCGTATAGGAACACTGATGTTAAATTGCATTTCAACTGTCTTTCCTTTGTCTAGAACAATTTTTCTATTTCTTAATATAT